TCACCGTAACTCCTTGAGAACAATCTTGCATGTTGATCCAGTAGTTTCTATTATTCCAAATACTCTCTACACCAAGATATCCTGAGAAATCGAGGGCATATGATTGGCCGGTTGTTGCCTCAAGGAAGAAACTTTCTGGCACTTCACGTTTTCCCGCCAAAACTAGGACCCAACAATGAACTCTGAGACCATGAAGTTTGTCCGGCTTCGGCTTCTCCAGTTCCTATAAATTGTAAAACGCGCGACAACGCAAACTTTAATGATGAAAAATGGAACGAAAGGAAGAGAAATGACAGAATGCTGGATCACAAAAAGACGCGCGCAAGACGAGAAAAATCAAGGAAAAATATGCGAGATTGTACGAAAATATGAGCACGGGAATCAGAACGGACCTATTCCCCTAATGAACAAAATTTTGATCTAGACAAGTCTAGACCACAGCTTGAAAGAACATCACCAAATTAGTAATATTCCGAAGTTTCGTTGCGAAATGTTGTAAAATGCGGATAATATAGTCCCGCGAAGTTTGCGGTTTTTCAGTCATTTTGTATTACGCACGACAAAATGACTGAAAAACAGCAAACTTCGCAGCGCTATGTTATCCGCATTTTACAACATTTCGCAACGAAACTTCGGAATATTACTAATTTTGTGATGCTCTTTCAAGCAGTGATGAAATTTTTGTCTGGACTTGTCTAGATCAAAATTTTGTTCATAAGGGAGTAGGTCCATTGAAGAGCCCCAATGCCCCAATGTAGGTAATCTTCATTTATATCCCAGTATTTCCTAAATTGTGACAAAACAAAGAATCTTACAGCAATTTTCGCGGCCTCTTCATCCCGTCTTTTCTTTTCCAAAGCTTCCTCCTCTCCTCTTGCTTTCGCTGCAAGTTTTGCTTCGAACTTACTCGCCAGATCTTTCGGAGGTTTCACGGCGTATTTACTCACTTCCTTATTCTCCTTCTTCGCTGTCCACTGTAAAACAACAACAACATTGGAAACTAATGTACAGTACGGCTGTTGGTGTCAGATTGATTTCTTACACAGGTCTTCAAATATCGGTCGATGACAAAATGCTTGATGACTTTGAATTTGGGTCGGACATATGTCAGTTAAATGTGATGTCCGGTTGATGTCCAAAAACTTTGAGTTAAGCTTGGGTTGGAAAACAGACACAAATTATGTATGACGGAACTTTCTCTAAGCCGCATTTTAGTAATTATGTGTTTGAATAATTAGGTTAAAAGTGATTATAAAGATATAAAAAAAACCTTTAAAATTATAAAAACAATTACAAGTTATATTTTTAGTCACTTTTAACCTGAAGATGGAGTTATATACTCGATCAGAAACTTAGTTATTGAAATATTCTTTTTACTAAGCCTATGGTCTAGTTAGTAATTATTCGCGAATGGGTCGGACAATGTTCGTCACCGACTGATATTTTAAGACTGTCTTACATACAAAAAGTGAAAAAGTTATGCATAAGAGACTACTCTGTAGGCCTTAATGTACATCAAATTGTCTGGTCCTTTGCCAATAGTTCATAAAACACCTTCTAAATTTGCATCCTACGGATTTTAACCCTTCCAGTTTTGTTCCCAAGCCATCTTCAAAGTGGTGTTTAAAAACAACCCTCCGGCACTGAAAAATTTACTTCTCAAAATAATTTTTAGTGGTATAGACACTAGCAGACCCCAAACTACCCATGTATGCATCAGTAAAAATTTCATAAATTTTGCGGAAAATTTTTTAGCTTAGCGGATATTTTCGAACTGTGCAGTTTTTTATGATGTCCCCCTGTAGATCAAGCTCAACAAAGTTCATCTTGTATTTACAGCAATTAAGGCAGTTGATCAGTCGCACGGATAATCCGATGACGCATCTTGACTTGCATTTATGGTGGATCGAGTCAACTCACCTTATTTTCTTGTTTCAACAAAGGACAGATATCCCTAGTTTGATCCATCAATGTAACTTCACGCGTGGCGTAACCACACACACAATATGCGTCGTAACCAGCGCCGATCAACAACGAACATAACACGATACTCATTTCAAAACAATTTCCTTTCTGACGCCTTATGGTCGTCGTTGGGGACGCAACTACCAATGGCTGGTTATGGAAAAAAATTAAGCTAAATCAATCCACTGTAACCTTGCAATCCTAGGCCCAATCGTAATCCAATCCTAGTCCAAAACCTAATCCTAACCTCACAGCTTGTCAACGAGATGTGTTCGCACTGCTTGTTCCCAGTTGTTGACAAGTCTGGAACAAGTTGTTATCATCTTGTTACAAGGTTGACGAGGCCAACAGACTCGCAACAAGTTGTTTCAACAAGTCTGATAGTGATACTACCATTTTCGAGCTTCCGTGAAGCGTGCATTTATAACTAGGTTTTAAAACGTTTCTTCAGCATGAGTTTGTCATTCAAAACTTTTTATTTCGCTCCTAAAACATTTTGTTTTGACATAATAACTTCTGTGGGCGTGGTATAGAACATATTGTTTTGCATGCGAAACTTTGAATTTCGGCGTCAAAACTCAAAAGGACGCTTGTATTACAGAGGTTTGTTACGTAAACATATCCAGAAGGTGCTATAAATCTGTTATTTCGCTTTCTTATAGCAATTTTGTCAGTATAAAGTCAGTCCGTGTGAAAAATAAGAAGAAATTTTCGCGTGCAAAACAATGTGCTTGACACCACGCCCACAAAAGTTACTATTGCAAAACAAAAAGTTATGAATGACAAACTCATGCTGAAGAAACGTTTTGAAACGTAGTTATAAATGCACGCTTCACGGAAGCTCGAAAATGGTAGTATTGTCTGTACATAACAAGATATTAACAAGTTGATGAGTTGTTTTGTTGGAACAACTTGTAGCAAGTCTGTTACCATCATCGTCCTTGCAATAAGGTGATAACAGTTTGTTCCAGACTTGTCACAACAACTGGGAACAAGCAGTGCGAACACATCCTGATATCGGCTTGACAACAACGTTGTTACAACTTATTTGCCGATCTGCAACAACTTAAACTGTCCACCAAGGTTATTGTTATATGTCATTTTGGGACATTCATATGGAAAGTCACTAAAAGCTTTCGGGCCAAAAAAATAATGACTGCATGCAGATCATTTTATTCCCATCATGCATCACAGGCTTAAAATTTAAAGAAAAGATATAATTTTCGTTAAAACTTACAAGGTCTATGATGGGATCTAGAACATCAAATGTGATATAATCTGCAACAAACTGGGCGCATCTGTCATAATCGTAAATCTCTTTGTACGGCAGGAGAGTGGGACGCACTGTTGTGCAGATAAATTTCTGTAAAAATAAAATTATTATATGATGAACCAGTAAGTCCTGGATTTCAGCAGAGTCAAACAACAAAGCAAGGCATATTAGGGCCAGGGCATCACTACTGTAGCTGCTATTTTCTTGGGGAGTGAGGGGGGTGTAAGTGAAATATTGCCTAGTCATTTCTGCAAGATGAACACATACTTTCCAAGAAATCTTGTCCATGGGGGGCATTCCAGACAGGCGTTAAAATATTTTTTCCCCAAAGACTGTAAAAATTTCCCCCACCCCTCCTCTAGCAACACCCCTGATTAGGGTGCATTGCAGCATCATGAGTTAATTAATGTGCATTTCAATCAATACTGACCTGTCACCAGTTCTCACACATATGTAATATAAATGCTTGGTTACCTTCGTTCCATTTTATGCTTATAGTGTTTACATTATAATTACAAGTAAGAACAGTGGTAACTGATCAGCATTCAGGATTTAAAAAAATTGGCCAAGTACTTCTTGGTATAATATATGACAAAACAACTTATAGCTTTTATCATGTAATCTTTTTAGTGAATTAAGATGCTGTAGGGTAGTGTAGACAGTGAGTTTACTAGAGGGTCCTGAAGGGGTAAAATGGGAACTGGGATTTGCTTATTTTTTGGGTGGGAAAATGGGATTTCATGCACTGGGACTGGGATTCATCAGC